CCCGCGCCACGTTAATGATCAACCACGAGCACCCGTTACCCACTGTCCAGGGGGAAGTGGGGCGCACCGGGGGCTGCCCAGCCGGTTGCGCCCGCAGAGGCCCCCCGTCCCCCGAGGCTGAGCCCCCCATGCCCCGGCCGGCACCGGGAGCAGCCTCGGCCCAAGCCCGGGGGATGCCGAGCCCCGGCACGGGGGTCCCCGCTGCCGCCAGCCCCCTGCCCTCGCCCGCAGCCCCTTACCAGCACCCGGTCCTCGCGGTGCACCGCGGTCCTCGCAGCGTGCCGCGGCCTCGGCCAAGTGCAGCGGAGCAGAAGGAAGGCGACGTGCGTGCCTGGCTGCGCGCTCCCTCCCATCCCACCCCGCCGGGGAGGCTGCGCGGCCCCCACCACCCTGCACCCACCCTGCCCAGCCTGGGGGCACCCTGGGGCCTCCAGCCCGGTGCAGGGCACCCCGAAAGCAGTCGGGGCCTCCCCCAGGACCGGGGGTTTTCCCCGGGGAGGGTGCAGAGCGCACGGCAGATGGGAAACCAGAGCCAAAGCAGCAGCTTCTTTATTCGGCAGCGTGGGCAGCCCGGGGGGGCCGTGGCAGGGGGTCACCTGGGTGGGTAGTGGGTGATGGGGGACCTCTCCGTCACCTTGCTCTAGAGGAGAGAGAAAGAGCAGGGTGAGCACCTGCAGCCCAGCCCTGCTCCCCCCCGTGGCCCCCTGGCCCCCCACGCACCATAGGCACCTCGTCCAGGTGGCGGAAGCGGGGGGTCCCGCGCCGGCACAGCCGCACCAGCAGCACCGCTGCTCCCCCCGCCAGCACGCAGATGAAGAGGCAGATGATGACGACCAGGCCGGGGCTGGGTTTGGCAAGGAGCTGCTCTGTGGGGGCAAGACGGGCACCCGTTACCCCCCCAGCACTGCCGAGCCTTGTGCCCAGCCTCCAAGCACCACGGCGGCTCTTGGGGGCCCGAGACCAGCTCCAGCTCCCCCCCCGCTGCCGTCCCACCCCTCGCAGACCCAGCACCCGGCTCCTGTGTCACCTCCACCCGCCAGGGACCAGCCCGGGACCCTCCCACCCTCCCTGGCCGGGGTCCCACGATCCAAAGGCTGGAGGACAGAGGGGGGGCTCTCAACATCCCCCCCAAGTAGGACGGGGCAGCCCAGGGGGGCTCTGGGCTCACCCAGGGACCTGCACCCCTGAGCCCCCCTACCCCATCCTGCCAGCACAGCCCCCGAGCGGGGGGTCCAGGGGGGAAATGGGGCTGCTGCCCATGGCTGTGGGCAGGCCTGGGGCTCGTGGTTCCCAGCCTGGCTCTCACCTGAGCTGCCAGCTGCGGTGCCGGTGCCGATGGCCGGTGTCGTTCCGGAGCTGGCGGCCAAGGTGCTGCTGGGATCCGGGCTCACAGTGGGCGCAGGAGAGCTGGGAGCAGGAGCGGGGCTGGGGGACCTGGGCGAGGACGGGGCTGGCGCTGCCGTTGAGCTGGGTGGATGCCCCGTGGCTGGGGAGCTGGGCATGGCCGGGTGGGACGGAGACGGTGCCGTGGTCGTGTTGGATGGAGACGTCGGAGGTGTCGGAGGTGCTGCTGAGCCGGTTATCCCGGAGGGAGATGATGCCATGGGTGGGTCGGATGAAGATGTAGGTGCTGCTGGAGCCGATGTTGCAGCTCTGTCAGGTAAAGCTGTGGGCACCACTGAGCCCAGTGTCCTGGACGGAGACGCTGCCGTGGTTGGGTTGGGTGGAGGTGTTGCAGGTGCCGCTGCGCTCGCTTTGCTGGATGGAGAAGACGCTGCAGCTGAGCCAGACGGAGGCACGCTGGCCATCCCTGAGTCAGAGCTGGATGGGGACACATTCGGTGTCCCCGAGCTGGCGGCTGTGGGTGTGCTGGATGGAGATGGTGACATGGCTGTCCCCGAGCTGTGTAGAGATGCCATGCTGTTGGTATCGGCGCCATGTCCTGTCTCTAAAGCGTGGAGGAGAGAGCTGGTCAGCCGGGACGCGGCAGGGCCCTGGCAGGGGCAGGCAGGGTCCCGGGGAGGGCAGTGGCGCCTGCCCCGGCTCCCAGCCTCGCAGGGCTCATTTTCCAGGTGGTTTCATCATACACAGAGGACCAGAAAACCAGGATTTAGCCACTATCAGATCCCAGAAATCCAGGGTCGGGAAGAACGTCCCAAGCCATCGTGGCATGGGCACAGTGCCACAGGGATGAGCAGAGCGGCACGGTGGTGGTGGCCATGTGCCACGGCACAGGGACACGTGCCAGACCGGCCTTCGTGGCACCCACCGGACACCCCTGGGCCGGCCCATGAAGGGGGCGCCACCGTGGTCACGTGGGACCTCGCAGCGTTTGCCGGGCACCAACGGCAGTGCCCTTATCCGCCTGTTTGCACAAGAGGAGGAGCTGGCCCAGCCCAGCTCCACGAGGGACACCGGAGCAAAATGCCCTACGGCAGAGCCGGCACCCAGTGCCAGCACCCAGGGGGGCCAGCGTGGCTGGGTGCTGAGGGTCCCCACAGCCACCAGGCCCTCCGGAATGGGCCGTTCCCACCCAGCTGCCACCCTATGCCGGGATGGCGGCGAGCCCAGGGCCGAGCACCCAGCGTTGGGTGCCAGCTTCCGTGCTGAGACGCGCGAGCCGAGGCACCCCGGGGTGCAGAAGGGGCTGCTGGGGGTCCAGGCTGGAAACGGGGGGGCCACAGTGCAGCGCGGCCCACGGCGGCACAGGGTACCGGGGCCCTTTGCCCCCAGAGTGCCAAGGCAGTGCCAGAGCACCCACGCCACCGCGAGCACCAGCCCGCCCAGCCGGTTTGGCAGCACCAGGGCCGCATCCTCGCCCCCGGTGC